ACAAGCAATTGTTAACGCTATTAAAAATTTTCGATTTGAGCCTAAGAAGATAATAAACAGAGTACGTATTCTCATAGAATAAAATAATAATATAAAAGCAAAATACATTAATTTTCAGCCATAGATCATTATAGGATGCCACTGTCTCTTAAAGCATTCTGCAAGATCGTTTCTTTTACAGCGGAAAAAACGAGTCTGAAGAATGGAATGATGTGTTAGCGATGTGTGTAAAATTCTATATTATAATTGTGGTGGTTGAAGCTGAAATTGGCCAAATCTCTGAAATATAAAATTTTCAATAAGCTGGTTTTAGTAGGTTTAAGGTTTAATACACCTAAACCGGACTCAAAATTTCAGCTTCAGTCAGTTTCAGCTTCAACTCCACAATAATTATGTATATACCATGAAATAAGCACTCTCACTACTAAAGGTGCGGACATTAGAACATAAAATAACATGCGGCATAGCCGTAACTAGGGTAGCTATCCAAATTTTATATTACGTAGAGGATAACTACCCTTGGCCTGACGAATTTCCGCATCTCTACTTACTACCCCATTTTTTTTAATATCAAATTAACAGAAGCAATTTTCAACGCTGTTATAGTTGTTCTGATATTATAAAAAATGGTTCAAGAGGCGGTGATTATTTCGGGATAATACAGTAGATAACAAGTTTAATTAAGATAATATTAACCGAATCTAAAATAAGCCGAAGTAATGCTAGTTAATATAGTATAGCTAATATTTAAACAAGTATTTAAAAGAATGACCATAATTCACTTACGTTCGATGTATCAGTCGCTTGTGTGAGACTATAATAGATAAAGTAAATACAAAGTTTATATAAATGAAATACTAATAATATTCGACCTTTTATACTTACTGTGGATATATGTTTAGTCTGGCACGATTAGTTTGGGTAAATCTCCATAATATATACTTCGCGGCTTTATTAACGTCGGCACCTCCTAATTTTTGTTATTGACAAATATGATGAAAAACATTCGAGCAAATTTTATACGTATTAAATGAATTTACCTAAATATTCAGGAAAATAATCTTTGAGAGGTACTCGGGGTACCTTGACTTTGAACAAATCTATTTTGTTTAAAAACAAAATGATAGATGTTCGCAGAAACCATCGGCTATTAATTACAGATTCAAATAGTACAAGGCTTTCTTTCATACGATTCTGCAATTATGTATGCGTTAGTTCTTGAAAATTCAAAAATAAAGATTTGAAAATTATAAAATACCTGGCCTGTTTGTTCCAAAAGAACTTGGTCATATTCGCTGAGAGCGACGCAAAAAATAATAGACGTCACGGCTTCAAAACAATGAATCCATTTTTTTCGTTCTGACCTTTGGCCTCCTACATCAAACATGCTAAGTATAGATTTGAGATTGAATTATCAAATATTAAAAGAAAACGAATAGGAGCAAGTACGGGCACATAATAGTCTAATAAAAGCACATACTGTATGCTTAGTGTACCCATGTTAAATCTTGTTTCAGATATCCCTGTAGTTTTGGTTCGAGCCCGAAGTACATCGGCTTCATCTGGAATATAACCTTGAGTCCCAATTCGCCTTACCGCATCAAAAAAGCTAAAAAAATAGGAAAGTTGATGAATCTCCATGATATTTGAACAATTATGTATACTTACTAAGGTGCAGAATCCATCAGATAAAAATGGCTTTGCTTCTCGAGAACTTCTGTTATTATCGGATCATTCCATACAGAATCTATGGCTTCAACTATTTCTGGACTTAGTTGAAAAGCAGGGTCAGATTCTACACTATATTCCAGAATTCTATCGATATAAACCTATAATTTTAATGCAAACGAGGAATTAAATTGTTTGTTATTATTATTAAATTAAACTATGAGAATACGTACTCTGTTTATTATCTTCTTAGGCTCAAATCGAAAATTTTTAATAGCGTTAACAATTGCTTGT